CTGGGGCAGCCTGAAGCAGGGACCTGGCCAGGCAGGTCTTGTGGTCTTTGGAGACAGGGAGTCACTGAGTTGCTTAGAGCCTCACCAATGCTGAGACTGGCTTTGAACTCACAGTCCTCCTGCCTCAGCCTCCGGGAACCCCTGGGGTGAGAGGCGTGCACCACCGCACTGGGCTCTTTTGTGCATGTTTCTAAAATCACTGCCCTTCTCCTGGGCGTTGGAAGCCTGACCTCCCCCGGAGGCTGAGGAAACTGAGGTCTGCATACAGATCTCGCGGGCGGGTGAGGGGGCAGGATTACCTAGGAGCGGCCACTGGATCTCCGTAATTCCCAGGTTTAGAATTTAAGTCACTTAAAAAACAAAACAACAACAACAAAAAAACCCAAACAGAAACCCGGGTACTGTCACATACCTTTAATCCCAGTGTCTCTGGAGTCTGAGGCAGGAGGATTGCAAATTCAAGATCAGCCTCAGCAAATTTGATGTGCACCGCAATTGAGCAAGACCCTGTCTCAAAATTTTAAAAAAGAGCCGAGTAAGTGGCTCAGTGGTAGAAGTGCACCCGGGTTCAAGCCTCACTACAGCAAAACAACCACAAGGACAGAACAATAACAATAAAATACTGAAATAAAGAAAACTTTGTAAAGGGTGAACAAGGGAAAGACATGGGGCCAACTCTGCCTGGTAGCTCAGTTCGCTTAATCCTGAAGCACAAGGAAAGTCACATTGGTCTGTTTTTGTTATTGTTGTTGTTTGTTTTTGTTGTTTGTCAGAATATCAAGGTTGATGTCATCTAGTCAATAGATAATGTTTCAAATATACTCATAAGTCTCTAGCAATATTTTACCTTGGCCTTATTAAGTCTAAATAAAATATGTTGCATAAAACCAGCTGAAAAACCAGCCTCTACCTCAGAGCAAAGCCTGTCCAAGGAAGGGACATCACCTTTGTCCTTGGAAAGACCCACAGAGCACTCCTAGGCACATTCCCACCCTGCTAAGGTGTTTATCTACAAATAACAGGAGAGATCTGCTGCACCAGGTGTCCCTGACTCAGTCAGGCTAGGTGGGGATCCATAGCAACCCCCTAGCAGCCACCCATCAGCCTGAGACAGGGAAATGCCTGGGATGTCAGATGACCCCCCAGTAGTTTATAGTGGTTGATAACATGATGGGAAACCATGTAGTTCAGTACGTACACCCCTCTTGGCTTAAACCAATCAGTTCAAATGAATACCCCTTTTGTATTGACTAATCACCCCTCCTCAACTTGTTCCCGTCAGTGAATGTGCTAATCATGTTTTAGAGTTGTTATTTGATTTTCCTGCAGTGTGTGATGATTTGCTACGAGATGCTATGATGTATGTGAGGTCCCTGCCTTCTCCAAAGAGTGTATAAAACTGCTGCAAACCCTGGGCTCAGGGCCTCTCAGCGTCGCCAGTTGCTGTGTGCACGCGGAGGACTGAGCTAGCTCGCAGTAAACACCTCTTTGCTGCTTACATCAATCTTGGGTCTCTGGTGGTCTTTTGGGGGTCCCGAATTCGAGCATAACACAGCAATGCACAGAGGCATGAAATAAATTCAAAGGTTGAAAGTAAGTCGTACGTTTTCCCTACTCGTTCATCTTAATATTTAAAGTATCATTGAATTTGATGTATTTAAAAGATGGTGCTATTTTGTTCTTTCTCCTCCCCCCTTTATTTTTATTTTTTATGGTGTGGGGACATTGAACCCTGGGCCTTCTACACTGTTAGGCAAGAGCTGTCCTGCTAAATCACATCCCCTAACTCCTGCTTTTTTTTTTTAATATTTATTTTTTAGTTGTAGTTGGACACAATACCTTAATTTTACGGGGTGCTGAGGATCCAATCCAGGGCCCCACAGATGCTAAGCAAGCGCTCTATCACTGAGCCACAACCCCAGCGCCCCCTAGCTTCTTAATCACTTTTTTTAAGCAGGCCGTCAGCAGAATGGCAAAACACTTTGTGTTGGCAAAGGAGGGTATTTTCCAATGGCACTTGTAAATGCAGGGGTAGCTGTTTTTCAGTGAGATTATTTAAGTATTATACCACAAATCTTATCTCAGGGGAGAGATCAGACAATCTGGCATACACAAAAAGCTATGCCTTAACCTTGCTTTTCCTAGGTTGCATTCAAGGGTTTGGAGCACAGGATGTTGTTAAGCCTAAATAGTCATTCTTATCTTTATCAGGATACTGTTGTGGCGCATTAGTAATAAATCACTGGGTCAGTCTT